AAAAATAAAAAAGTTTTAAATTTATTTTTATTTATTGAATATAAAATTTTTTTATTTTTGAATAGATTAATAAATCTATTTTTGAAAATCATTTGGAAATTTCTACATAATATTTAACATGATATAGAGTTTTTATTTAATTTTTTAAACCGATATAAAAATTTTTACTTAATTTTTAAAATGATATGTAATTTTAACAAAATTATTTTGAAATTTTCAACTTAATTTTAATGTTTTAAAAAAACTATTTTCCATTAAAAATATTATCTTATTTATAAATAATATCATAATAAAAATTAAAAAATATTTTAAATTATAATATTTTATAAAATATATTTGAAAAATATAAAAATAAAATTTTCTTGAATTATTTTTACCTCTTCCTTTATTTATTTTTTATAACATATATTTGAAAAAAAATAAAAGATATTTAATATTTGAAAATATATTTTATGGATAGAAAATAATATTTTTATTATGATTTATAAGTAAAATAATATTTTTAATAGAAAATAATTTTTTGTTTTTAAAAAAAATTTGAATTTTTAACTTAATTTGAATTTTTAAAAAACTATTTTTGTATTAAAAACAAAATATTACAAAAAATATAAAAATATAATTTTAAATTTAATATTTTATAAAATATATATGAAATGTATAAAATTTTTAGATAGTTTCCTCTTTAGTCTCTAAATTTTGAAAGAATTTTATTTTGATATCTTATCTGCTATGTGAAGTACTAGATGATGTCATCACATGGTGTCAACTGGTATTTGACATTAATTTAGTTAGTTCCATAAACAGAAAAACCAAAATATGACAAATTTAGATAATTAGGGATCTGATTAAAATATTTTAAAGTTTAAGGACTAAAATAGAACTTGAGTCAAAGTTTAGAGATTACAAATGCTATTAACCTTTTATTTAAAAGTTTAAGGTACAAATTATAAATTTTATTTTTTAAAATACCAATTTATATATTCTTTTATAGTTTAAATACCAAAATTGTAACTAACTCTTTTTTAAAAGGTATAATCATGAATACTATGAAACAATTTTCATTTTTTTCACAAAAAAATATATCATAAATATAGGGAAAATGATTATAAGTATTAGAATTTGAACTTCTGACTTACTGAATGCTTTTTTTAAAATATAATTACATGAATTATTTGAAATAAATTTTGGATTCAAACATTCAAAAGTCACTTCCCCAATGTGTTTTCTTACCAACACCTCACAAGAAATAAACTACATATGTAAGTAATATATGAAAAGATTAAAAAAAATCAATATTTTAAAAGGAAAGGTTCTCTGAGTGAAGAATTACAAGCAATTATGCTACAAATTTAATCAATTAAACATTAGGCTAAAGTTATTAAATATTTTCAAGGCAAGAACAAATAGGGGAAAAGGTATCTCTAAGGGTCATTTGATATTGCTGTGTTTTTTATATTTTATGTTTTTAAAAATTTTATTTTATTTTATTTTTATTTTATTTTTAATTTATTGTATTTGAAAACATGGATATAATGTTTTTGTTTTAGAAATGTGAAAACTAAAACATATAAGAGAAAGTGGTTAAAGTTTTTAGGCTCCATTTGTTATTAATAATATAATAATATTTATTAATATAATATTTCTTTAATAAAAATATTATTTTATTAATAATTGTAGCGTCACTTTAGTGGTTTAATTGTAATTTCTATAAACAATGCATCTATAGTAATAGTGCCAAATCATTTTCAAAAAAGTGAAAATATTATTTTTTTGTTTTTAACAATTTTCAAAACTTTTTAAAACTTTATTTTATGTTTTCAAATACAAAAAACAAAAGAGCCTACCAAATATGTTTTTGTTTTCAATTTTGAAAAGGGTTAATAGCACCTGTAATTCTTAAACTTTGATCTAAGTTCTATTTTGATCCTTAAGTTTAAAAAATTTTAGTCAGATCCCTAATTGTTTAAAATTATTTTATTTTGATCATTCCATCTATAGAACCATCTAAATTGACGCTAGCACCATGTGATAATGTTAGGTAACATCTCACATGCCAGATGAGAGACTAAAATAGAATTCTCTTAACGTTTAAGGACCAAAAATAAAATTATCTTAAAATTTTATATATTTTATATATATTTTATAAAATATTAAATTTAAAATTATATTTTTATATTTTTTGTTGTTATATTTTGTTTTTAATAGAAAATGGTTTTTAGAAATTAAAATTAAGTTAAAAATTCAAAATCTTATTTTAAAACAAAAAATTATTTTCTATTAAAAATATTATTTTACTCATAAATCATAATACAAATATTATTTTCTATACATAAAATATATTTTCAAATATTAAATATGTTTTTTTTCAAATTTATTTTATAAAAAATAAATAAAGGAAAAGATAAAAATAATTCAAGAAAAAATTGATTTTTATATTTTTCAAATATATTTTGTAAAATATTATAATTTAAAATATTTTTTAATTTTTATTATGTTATGATTTATCAATAAAATAATATTTTTAATAGAAAATAGATTTTTAAAAAATTAAAATTAAGTTGAAAATTTCAAAATAATTTTGTTAAAATCACATATCATTTTAAAAAATTAAGTAAAAAGTTTTATATCTGTTTAAGAAATTAAATAAAAACTCTATATCATGTTAAAATATTATGTAAATATTTTTGGTTCATTTTCAAAAATAGATTTTATTAATCTATTCAAAAAAATAAAAATTTTACATTCGTATAAAATATAAATATAATTTAAAACGTTTTTTATTTTTCATTTTTATAAAATGTATTTTATAAGATATATTTAAAAAGGAAATATAAAAGATATTTAATGTTTTTAAAAAATAAAATTATTGGATAGAAAACAATATGTTTTATTATGAGTTATGAGTAAAATAGTATTTTTAATAATTTTTTGTTGTTTTAAAAATGTATTAAGTTTCTAAAAAAGAATTTAAAAATTTTAACTTAATTCTAAGTTTTGAATATTTATTTTGTATTTAAAATAATAATTTATCTAATAAGTTATATTATAACAAAAAATATGGAAATATAATTTTAAATTTAATATATTTTATAAGACGTGAATGAAATATATAAAATTTTGAAATAGTTTTGTCTTTGGTTCCTAAATTTTGAGAGAATTTATTTTGGTTTCTCATTTATCATGTGAGATACTAACTGATATCATTATGTGATATCAGTTAGTATTTGTCGTTAATTTAGATGGTTTCATAGATGAAAGAACCAAAATAAGATAATTTTGGACAATTAAATTTTCGATTAAAATTTTTTAAAGTCTAATGACCAAAATAAAATTTAGATAAAAGTTTAGAGACTATGAATGTTATTAACTCATTTTCTAAAGACAAAAAAACAAAAACAAACCAACCCTTAATAATTAGCAAGCTTGAGGATATTTGCCAATGGGATTATGCTAAGCATGACTATAGGGTGAACCACTGCCTCAATTACATGTTCATTTTCTTTTATGTTTCAATTTTACCTACTAATTAGAATAATTATATAAAAGCAACTCATCATACCTTGCAGAGTTCGAGCAAATAATATGTTTTCATAAATAACAGTACATAAAAAAGAAGATGAAGTTGGCGGCCAAAACATACTAAAGCAACTTGTTTGTGGCTTTTCTGCAAAGCATTTTGGTTACGATTTAGGTCATCCATATTTATAACAGAAGTAGAAAGTTGTTGGTTTTTGTTTAGTGATTACTGAAAAGGACTTCAGAATTCTTTTGGTTTCCTTGAAACCATGCACGAAAAGGGAAAGAAATAAGAAAACTTTATTATATGTAAGTTTATTTTTAGTTATTGCAGGCATGTGTGAAGAGGATTTCGGGTGATGATACTGGAAGCATGCACTGCACAGGACAATACTTTGACTACTTGGTTTGTGTTGATAAATGTGTAAATTGTCTTATACTAGTATTAAACGATACTTCATTGTAATTGCTCTTCTTCTGAATTTGCCATTTTGAATTTGTTTCAATGGTGAATGCATGTTGCCCCAAAGCTATTTGCAAAGCTGACATAACTGGGAGCTTGCTAATTATTAAGGATGCCCCTTCCCTATTTGTTCTTCCCTTGCAAATATTTAATAACTTTAGCCTAATGTTTAATTGATTAAATTTGTAGTATAATTGGTTGTAATTCTTCCACTTAAAGAATCTTTTCTTTAAAAATATTGATGTTTTTTCGATAAGAATAAAAGATCTTTCATATATTACTTACATATGTAATTTTATTTCAGTTATAAAATCTTGGAGGCATGCAATTCAAACATTACCAACATTTGCAGAGGAACCCTAATTAAAACATCCAAGATTATTCCCAAAATTAATAATAATAATAAAAAAAACACTCACATAGTGGAGAAATTTGTTTAGCACACTCAACCCCTAAATTGCCCTCTTGATTTGCTTATTGCGAAGGGAATTGCGTCATCAACAAAAATGCAAGAAATCACGGAAGACAAGGTTTTTTTTTTTATTTTTTATTATTGGAGATGATGATGATGATGAAGATCATAAAATATTGGGAAAATTTCAGCGATCAAGTCTCTCAAATTAAAGAAAAAAATGAAGATTGAAAAAGAATGCTACCTAGTGCGGAGAGTGGAGATACAGGGTGGCTTAGGTTTGCTGGCTTTTCACTAGGAAAATGCAAATTAAAAGATAACTTATTTTACGCTATCTGTTTTTTTTTTTTAAATAAATATATAGCTTGCTTCCTAACAACTTATAATCAAATTGAACGACTTGTAGCAATTCTCAGGGTTAGCTGCGTAAATTCTGCTAGCAATTCTCACTCCCTTGCCTTGGCTGCTTTTAAGTTTTTATTAATTTCTTTGATTTTCCCAATCAATAAGCTGGTAAAGCTGGAAGTGCTGAGTTTCACAGTATTATTGATCGAAAAAAGGAGAGACGGAGAGACATTTTGAGATAGTCATCATGAGAAAACTCGAAAAACACAGTACCGTCACTACAATTGTCCAGGTAAAAAAAATGCATAAAACAGGTCAAGTATCAACCTTGAAATGAAGTATAATCTATGGTTAAAACCATTTCATTCGTTCATCCCCATCATCAGTCATGGCGAGTAGCCTTGCCTACTAAAAACTGGCATTCCATGTCCAAATGGTCTACATTATCAACTTAAGCAGACAATGAAAAGCGTTGGTCCATTATCCCTTTTTCATCATACAAAGATGTCAACAAAGTCTATTGCTTAATGATCTCAAAATGTGCAAATATTCCACAGTTCCTTAACATGTAACAATAATCCTTTAGAGGGTCTTAGAAGTAAACTTGACAAAAGGTGATTCCTTCCCAGAAAGTGAGCTAGAAACTTCATTCTCCTCATCAGGCAGTCCGTAGAGGTGGAGAAACCAGTATGACTCCGTCTCCTCTGACAAAGAGAAATGGAACCATGCGCCTTGTAGCCTGAAATATGAGGGGGAAATAGGGTCATCATCCCAAAACTTGAAACAATGGAACCTAAATTCATTTTTTATCCAATCAAAAGTTCATTTCACTTGAAAATCTCCAGTTTAAAAGAAAAGTTAATGTTTGTTTCTGCTGCAAATCCAGATTATTGGAATGCCAAGAAAACTTAGTTCATTCTGTTCATCACAAGACAAAAACTTTTAATAGTGTTCCTTCATTAGTATCCTTTTAAGGGATACTACTTATAACAAGACAGTAAGAGTGCGGTTTGCATTCTTGAGGAAGCACACTTTCTTCTAATTTCTAATGAAAGTAGAAATAAGTTTATATGAAAAGTTGAACGACTTTGTAAGCATCTAAAAGAACAAATTCAAGCATTCTTCATTGAAAACCCCCCGTGGGGGGGGGGGTGTTTACAGTTCTTAAGTTACCAATGATCACTAAATTCAAAACATATCAAATCACTGATTATCTGTAGTTCATATATTAGCTTTCAGAACAAATAATACTCATACTCCAAATTTGTGGAAAGGGAACAGTGAAAATAATAACCTACCCGAACTATCTCTTCATAGGTTTCGTCATCTATTTCAACTGTTGTAACAATCTCTTCAACATCCCCTAGAATCATATTCAAATGCTGATCATAAGCCTGCAAGCCACATTAAGAAGAACTAGGCATCAAACAGATGAGCTACTACAAGCTTTTGAACATTATGGCCAATCATATAGGCAAGTACAAAGAATATAATTACTAATTAATATTATTAAGCATAACAAGCTCTTTTTGGAAAATCAAAGTGATCTACGTTCAAATCATTGCCTACACTTCAGATGGTAAAATGCCTAGAATTAAACAAATTTTATTGATCCCTTGGCAAAAATTAAGAAACTCCTTTGCATTTCCACAGCATATTGACTCTAAAACAATATTATATCAAATGAATGGCCACATGCTGTACAGAACAAGTGAATGGATGTTAAGAAAACAACATATCATGTTATACATGTTCTTAACCTTCCACTTTATGCAACCCCCAATACAATTAGTTATCTATACAACCACCACATTTGTGGATAAAAATAAATATAATATCAATTTTAATACTAAAAAGATATGACAATACTAGGAGAGAAATTAAGTAGAAGTTTGTTTACTGTTATGTTTAAAGAGAGAAAAAGTAGGAAGATATAAACATGTACAAATAGATATGTAGACTTACATGGAGAAGAACAGAGTGAGTGATCAGAGGAAAAGACTAGAATAGAAGTTGAATTATTTGTCCAATGACCAAGGTTCAAATCCTGATAGGTATAATAAAAACTAACCGATAAACTGACTAATATATCAAACCACAGAATTATATCATTTCAAACTGCCCATAAACAATAAACTGAGAATTCTGAAAATTTACTTATCACACAAAATTTTGCATCACTGCAGAATATCAATTGGACAACACAGTCAAGCAATTTAGGGGAAAAAGACGCCCAAAATTTTTTACTCACTGTGTAGAACTTGTTTAAGCATAAATAATGAACATAAAAATTGCAATATCCTGAAGGGATAGTTGATAATAAGATGAATCAACAGTCCCCAAAAACAAAAACCCAAATTAAGGAACCCAAAAAGAATTTGAACATTAAACATTCAAAGTGGTAAAGAAGGGCAGTGGTGGATCCTGAATTTTCTTTTCAGGAGTGTCCAATTATAATATATATATATATATATATATATACATATATATATATACATATATACATATATATGTATATATGTATACATATATATATACACATATATATATACATATATATGTGTGTGTATATATATATATAACAGCCGAGGGAAATTTTAGGCTGTCAGGCAACTTTTTTCTTCAAAATTTCTTATTTTCCAGTCTTTGAGATGTGTAGGAAAATTGGAGGGATTTCTTTAAAGTTTTCTTATTTTCCAATTTTTATGGTATCCATGAACATCTTAGTTCACAAGTTAAAACCGCCCCCGAAGAAGGAAACCCTTGAGTTTTATACTCAAAGTGTTAGAAGTAAACGTACATGTAGCTTGCCACGGAGTTCGCGGTCAGAACGGAGCTTGACGTAAATACGCTCGTCGAGGCTGAGCCTTATCAGATCCAAAGGCTCCTTCACTGCGCTCTCTTCCTCGCTTGCCATTCTCTTCCTATCTGTCGCTCCTTCCTTCCACGGTAACAGAAAACGAAGGGGCTGAAAGACAGTGATAATAACAACAAAACAGTATATTGACGGACCCGAATACATTTGGTAGACCCGGTTTAATCGTATCATTTTGGATTCAGAATTTCTGGGGTTTGGCATTGGGTTCTCAAATGGGCCGAACTCAATTTTTTATAATTTCAAGCTGACTTTCACCTCTAAAAATTCAAACCATTTCGTTATACTAAATAAATAATGTAAATTTTTTAATTTATTTACCTAATGGTTAAAAAGTTTTAAGAAAATATGTAAGGGGAAAGCTGGAATTCCACAATCTCCATTTCCCTATCCCCTTGGATACAAAAAACAAAATCTAATTTTACTTTTGTTAATTTTTTTTTTAGCCAACAATTAAAGATGTAAATGAATTCAGTTTTCAATAAATTATTTATGAATACGTTTGGTTTTTATTCATTCATATTTGTTTGTTAAGTTTAATAAACAATCTTAAATTTTATTTTTTATTTGTTTATTAAACAAACTAAATAAGAACAAAGATTTGTTTGGTTTGTTTATATTTGTGAACAAACCCATTTAAAATTTATTCATTTAAGATTCGTTTATATTTGTTATTCAATAATAATAAAATTACATTTTTATCCTTTGCCCTATTATCTTAACATTTTCACATTTTCAATATATTTTGTTATTTATGTTTATTTAAAGTTCATTTATATTCGTTTATTTTTAGTTTATTCTTAATTTTATAATTATATGTTTGTTTATTTGTTTAAATTTGTTTACTTCTGGTTTGTTTATTGTTCATGAATATATTCATTTATAATATGTTCATGCACATGTTTATTTAATATTCATAAACGAATTTATTTAACTTAAATGAGTTGAACACAAACCAAACTTAAATATTCTACCATTTAAACAAATCAAGCTCGAACATAGTGAATATTTTTCTTATTAAACATAAACTGATCCCGAACAACTCTAAAAATAAACAAAAAACCATGAACATACGTTTGTTTGTTTATATTCAGTTTGTTTATATTCATAGTAACAATTTTGTTAATTTGATAAAACATAAATTATCCATGTAATGGACTCAATTATAGGTTTTTATATTTTTATTGTGTGTGAATAAAGAATAATATAAAAATCATAAATTAAATTGATTTTTATAACTTTATTTAGCTAAACCCCTAAATTTGAAACAAAAATGCGTGTTGGAATTTTAGTAATTATAAAGTAAGTGAATAGTTACATCCAAGGTAAATTAAATAGAAATATAGATGGTGATGCACTTAGCTTTCTTAGGATGAGACCTACCACTAAGAAAATGCATTGTCTCATTTACTTGTAGAAAATATTATGTAAGAAACAAATGCAAATATTATATACACTAGGTGGATATGTGTGCATTATTGTAGGTCAAAATTTTTTTGCTTTATCATCTTATTGATCTATTTTTTTTATTACAAAATTTATCAATTTAAAAAAAGAAAGTTGAAAGGCAAGAAAAAAATCAAGTGGAGTGATATGTAGATATACAATTGACTTTTTTTTCCATAGAAAATTTATTTAATAAAAAATAAAAACAAAAATAAAAAAGTGAAAAAAATAAAAATAAAAAAATTATAAAAGGTACCACGTTGAGAACTAAATTAAACTTAAAATATTAATTTCTTAAATTAAAATATCAAATAATAACTTTATTAATATAATGTATAATTAAATTATAATAAAATATATACTTTTATATATTCTCTTAAATGGGTCAAGATAGAACACCCTAAACATAGTTTCAACTTGATCTCATTTCTTTAGAAAGGCCTCAACCTATCCTAACTCGATCCCTATTTAAAAAAAAAAAGACCCCAATCAGATTAGGATAGATCGAAACCTAACGGATATGAATATTTTGGCTTTTATATCAATCGACGCATTTTGTTGTAAAATTTATCTAATTAAATAAATTAAAAAAGATGAAAGGAAAAAAGCCAACTATGAGTGCAACATGGAAACCTCAATTGGCTTAATTGTTTTCACAAAATTAATTTAATAAAAAAGCATAAAAACAAAAAAACCAAAAAAAAAAGGAAAAAAAAAAAACTTATTCAGGCACTACGTGGACATCCCAATTGAGCTTAAAATGTTAATTTTTTAAATTAAACTATCAAATAATAACTTTATTAATAAAAAATCAAGAAAAGGAAAAATAAAAAGGAGAAAAGAAAAATAAACAAAAAGAAAAAGGAAAAGAAAAATTATTAGGGTGTCATGTGGATATCAAATTTGAGTTTAAAATATTAATGTCTTAAAATAAAGAATAAAATAATAACTTTATCAATATAATACATATATATGTAAAAATAAAATTAAATAGATAATATATATATATACACACATATATATCACGTGATGGTTTAAGGTAGAGCAACCTTAATCCACTTTTGAGCCTTTCTCATTTTCCTTAAAAGGTTCATCCAAACTTAACTCATATTGTAACGTGTGAGTTCAGAAGCATGACCATTATACTAATTTATAAAACTAATTAAAATAAAGAGTCACCATCAATATTTTTTGATCAAATATGATTGATCATCTAAGAAAACTTATCTTTTTAATAAAATCTTAAAATTTATTAAAACTTAATAAAAAATAATTTTTGGTCTATAAAAATCAAAATTGAGTTTGAAAATATAGTTACGTGTGAGAAATGATTAGCATTTCCATGGCATTTTTTTAAAAGCAATATCAATTAATCACATGTTATTTTTTAGCATTGATAAAAATTATCTTAATTATAATATTTAAAAATAACTCCTTAAAACTCTTTTTCTTTTGTCATCCTTTTTAGAATCACTTTATATAAGAATAAAATGAAAATTTTTTGTTTCAAAACATTTTTTAAAATCTCAATATCTAGACATAATTTTAAAAAATATTTTTTTGCTTAGGTATTTTCATAATAATCCTTAAAACCAAAAGTAATATTCTTTCATAAAAATAATTGTTGAAAATCTCTCCAATATCTAAGCAAATATAAAAAAATATTTTTTATTTTGGATATTATCTTATTTTATTTATAATAAAAAATAAATTTTCAGAAGTCACTAGCTACCCTTTTATGCTTTTCTTTCTTTTTTTCTTTTTTTAAACAAAATGATAAAACACATATGATGGAATAACAAATGAGTGATGCCAATGCAAATTAAAAGATACAAATGACCTCTTTTATTCCTGTTATAAATTTTTAATTTTGTCTTTTTTTCATTAAAAGAGTATTTATTAACAAAATGAAAAATCATTGGCGTTAGAAAATTTTCTTTAACTTCTCAATTTCTAAGTGAAATTTAAAAAAATCAAGTATTTGAATTCTTCTAATATCTAATTAGGGTTTTCAAAAATTATTTTTACTTAGAGATCAATTTGAAATTTTTATTTGGAAATCATGATTTTTGAATAAATAAAATATGCAATCAATGAACATTATGAAGAAGTGAATTCAGAGTTTGGAATTTGAAATTCAACCTAGGGTTAGGGTTAGAACCTCTAGACTTGGATTAGGGTTTAAGCTTAAGATTTGAATTTGAGGTTTGCATCTGGAATTTGGAATTGGGATTAATGTTTAAGAGTTAGACATAGGTTTGGGTTTGAAATAAAGATTTGGGTTTAGATTATGGTTAGGTCTTTAGGTTTTCGTTAAGGATTTAAAGATTTGGGATTAGGGTTTAGGTCTAGGGCTTGAATTAGGGTTTGGGGTTTGACTTTTGCTGTCGGGTAAGGGTAGCATATAGGGTTATAGTTAAGGTTAGTTTTAGGGTTTTGGGTAAGGATAATGTTTAAGGTTAGGGTTAGCTTTAGGGTTATGATTATGCTTACAGTTAGAGTTAGGGTTTGCTTAAGGGTTTAAGGTGAGAAAAATAGAAATTGATGACCTCTTAAGCCAATTAAAAAATCCTTAATATTTAGGTGAACTTTCGAAAGAAACTTGGTTCTCTCCCTTAAAAGTTTTATTTTCAGTTTAAGACCATATTTATGTAAAATGTAATGAATGTGCATGGAAATGAATGTAACATTTATTAACCTAAATAAGCAATATTAAACCTAAATGTGATTAACATTCTGCAAGCGCACAAATGGTGCAAGTAGTAATTAAGATCATTCTTATGAGGATTATAAATAAAGTTAATATTGAGTACCAAAATTATAACACCTTAATTATATTTAAACAAATTGAAACTAATATCTAATAACTAAATTAAACTACTTAATTAATCAGGACATATAATTAACTTATGCAATAAACTAAATTAAACAAGTGTAAACTAAAATTAACATACAATAACTAAAATAACAACTTAATTAAACAAATAAACATGTAAAGATATAGCCATATAGGTTAAACTCAAAACAGAATGTAACTAACTTAAAATAATAAGAACTGAATGCAAATTAAACTTATTAAACTTAAATATATGCAAACTAAATTTAACTAACATGCAACAACATAATCAAACTCAACATAAACTTAATCTACAAAGAACAAAATTGAATTAAACCAAATAACCTAAAAACATGTAATTACTAATAAGTTTTAATTAAACAACTTAAACATGCAAAAACTAAGCTTGAATAAATAATCAAAAACTAAATAACCCTAATGACATGCAATCTAATTAAATTAAGAAAAGTTAAACTTAAGAACAACAAGTTAACTTAGAACCTAATTAACTTAAACTGAATAGCATGCAAACCGAATTAATTTAGCCAATTAAAGCATTAACAAAATTTCAAGAGCATGAATAACAGAAATCAATTATAACGATGAGCAAAAATCATTTCGAATCAATTTAACTGAATGAAACTGATCTAAATTGGTTAATTCAGTTTGGTTAAATCCATTTCAATTTTATTCGATTTTTTTAGTTAAATTGGTTAAATCGGTTGATTTTCAAACTCTAAAATTGATAACCGAACTGACCGAAATAACCAATCTTTTCAATGGTTAATTAATGAATGGACAATCATGTCACTTCCCATATTAAAAAACCTAAATCTTCTCCTAATCCCCTAAGACCCATGCCTCCAAAACATAAATTGCTTTGCCTTTTC